TGAGTATGAGATGGCACTGAGAAGTATTGTTCTGGCTTTATGATGGTTTCTGAAATCACGCTTTTGCTGTTCAGACATCCTTTTTCTATCTATCTTCTGACCACTTTCATCCACAGGATGTGTGTATCCATCAATTACCATGTCCCATAGATCAGCATCATGAGCCAGAAAGAAGCTCTCAATTCTGTCTTTCCAATATTCAAAGTTTTCTCCATCAAAGACTGGAGGTTTGCCACTGATTCTGTCCTTGTCCTCATGATAGTCATTGCTGATGTTTTGGTTTGGCCCCATCATAGTGTTTTTCTAAAGCTTGGATCTTGTACTGATACGGTTAAGTGTATGAACTCAGAACCAGGAGCTCTGATACCAATTGAAGAAGTGAAAAACACAAGAAGGGGGGAAGGGGGGGGGTGAATTGAAACTTAAAAACAAAAGCAGTAGACACGATATTTTTATCCTGGTTCGTTTGATCTCAAACTACTCCAATCCACCCGCCAAGGTGATTTCGCCTCTCTCCAACACGGACTTAATTCACTAATCAAAACTTGATTACAATACTACTTTGACTACTGCCAAAGTCTTCTTAGGTACAACCACAACCCGGTTTATCTCAAGGAAAACTATCTTAATCAAAATAAAATGAATTATTGTGTATTGTTGTTTTTCGTTACAAAAATTGTATCACTACTGTGATATATTACACAATTTTAGCGTATGAGTGAATATGAATGTTTGCAGCATTTTAGATGTATGAGCAGTTGTATATTCAAAAATCGTCAATGATTTGTGCATTAAGCTTGTTTATATAGGCGTGGAAATCTTGTCCGGCATAAAGCGTGATAATGGACACACAATGCTCTTTCCATATTAAGAAGATTCTTGTCTGAATGAAGTTGTTGCATATGATACTGTCTTATTGAAAAGTAACGCTTCAGAACTATAATCTTGCATGTTGCTTTTACTTCAGAATATTGATGACTCAGAGATGTGAAGATCTGATGGTATATTAGACTTCTGTTCAGAATCAGAGTATCCTTTACTTTAGCGCAGATTCTGATCATCATTCTTCAAAACATTCTGATTACCTCATCTTGAAAGCTTATGTAGCTTAACTTCTGATGTTGTTTCAGTCAGAACTTCTGCATACAAAATAACACAAACTTAGAGTGCATATTTGTTCTTTGTATTTGTTATCATTAAAACTCTAATTAAGGGTTGTAGAATCAAACTACATTCTAACAAAATATACCAACATATCTAGAATAGATTGTTTAATGAAAGATATATACTAAGAATAAGATTCATATCACAATGAAGAGATGTATTACCGAACAATTCCCAGCATCATGAGTTGTACTATTGCAGTTTTTATAGTGTCTGGTTGTTTTAGTTTTATTCTTTTTTTCTTTGGAGCACCATTGATATTCACTATCATTGGGTCACCTACAAATGAATTTTTTATCCCAATCACTTTTCCATAATTAAAATACTTTTCTTTATATTCATTATGTCATCCATTATATCCCTATAAACACCATTCTTTTTTTAGGCTTCTTTGGAAAAAGTTGTAAAAACATAACAATAAGCACCAAAACCAGCGAGCTCAATTAGATTCGAATCTACTTCCCCATTAAGATCCATGTTCAAAAACCCAATTTTGGTATCCTTCGTCCAACGTGACAATACCAAACTACAAGGAATGTGATCCATATGCTCTTCCTTCATGACATAAAAAATGTGAGAGCATTGAAGTCCATTTTAATCAAATATTCTATAGGAACACAATAATGTTTTACCTGAAGCATCATATACAACTTCTCTTTCAAAACCAGACTCACAATATTTTTTCAATGTAAACATTGTCCTTTCCTCTTCTGATAATCGCTCCTTCATAATTAATGCATCAATCTTTATAACTTCTTCTATTACTTCTTTAAAAATCTTTGTCGTATAAGTTTTAGCAACATCCCTCTCAATCAAACATAGATGAGTTGTCAATATAGGATATGAAAACTTTCACAATAACAAGTTCATTGTTTATGTACTCTATCAAAGCCTATTCAAAATTTTGCATAAATTCAAAAATTCACCCTTTCTTCCTTACATAGTTCTTATACGACCAAAAAATGTACCGTGTAGATATGCAGTTTCCCAAAGTGACTTGTTCTCATATGTTTTGACAACCCAAGAATTTCCTTCAAGTTCGTTCTCCTTAACTAGCTTTGACCTAAATTCTTCTATTGCTCAGGTGTAAAATTTGAGTATTATAATACAGTGGGTGAACTGACTTGGTTTTGCATTTTATCGCAAATGTTGCGGATAGCAAGAGTCAACATCGACTTTTCTTTTAACCAATAAGTAAAGGGTGAAAAGAACAGGAAAGACCTTTCTTGATTTTTAGTTCGGGGGTAGGTTATAAAAAGGGAAGGTGTTAGCACCCTTTTCATCCGTAGTTATCTAAGGGCTCTTAATCGCTAGCTCACTTTGTTTTGAAAAATTGCTTTGTGTTGTGTGTTTTGAAAATATTTTGAAAACGCCAATGTAAGGCAAGAATTTGTAATAATTCTCGTATCTATCCTCGAGAATGCGTACAAAGTGTTTTGAAAATATTTGAAAGTATTTGTGTGAAAATGTTTTTGCTTTGGAATGTTTGTGAGCAAGTGATTAACAACGGTCTACCTACTCAAGGTCTTTCTTGTAATTTTCCTCCTCCTTTAGATAGTTCTATCCTACCATTAGTTAGTAAGAAGTCCTATCGTTGGATGTGAAGGGACAGGCGTGGGTCATCGTACAGCCATAGAAGGCAACTAGTAAGGACGCTTTAGCAATTATCGTTAAGGGACTAGATCGTTTACCGAGGCAACATCGAAAGGGTCATCGAGGGACTACGATATTTGTTTTTGAGGGACTTTGCCAAAGCGTCCCCACGTTCGAGGGACATGACTATTTTTTCGAGGCAACAAGGAAGGTTACCCTAGAGGTGTGAGTGTGTGAAATGATTTGTGTTCATTTATTTTTTATCTTTGAAATTAGGGTTAACTATCGATTTGTTTTTATCTTTCCATGCAAGACCTAATTACGAACAGTAATATAGTAAAATAGAAAAGCAGTAAATATGTGGAAAGTAAAAGAAAAAAAATAAAACCCTAGACTATTACAATGCTTTGGGAGAGGTACATAAATAGGAAAATGTAGAAAATAAACCTTAATTACTATTACAACCAGGGAAGCAATTACATAATCATAAAAAATTGCGAGAAAAAGAAATCTACGCTAATTGTAAGACTAAGAAAAAGGAAAAGGAAATTGTTTTTGGTGATTTTTTGACAAAAGGTTTTTTGATGATTAACCCTAAAACCTAATTAATTAAAAGCTTAATTAATTAAATGAAAAAAACTAAAAAAATCCTAATTAATTTTAATAATAAAAAAGGTCAATTAATTTAGTTATTAAAAAAAACGTGGATTAGTTAAAAAAATTAATTAGAAAAAAAAACCTAAGAGTCTAAATTAATTTTAATTAAAAACTACTTATGTTGTAAATATAAAAAGAGTGTGAGTAAATAAAAAAAGGAGAGAAGTTGGGCCTGAAATATAGCAACCAGGGGGGTGTGCTGAAAGAAATTTGTTTGACCCAATAAGCCCCAATGCTTGATCTAGTGCAGGAGGCCCTTGAAGTTCACCGTGTGCTTGCAGATTTGGGATTTTTGGATCAGATCTATACAAATATAATGGTATAGCATGGCAGGGGGCATGGTGGTCGTGTGGTACACGCTACACTCGATCTGCAAGAATCAAAGCAAACAATGTGAAAAATGCAAGAGGCAGGGATCAAACTCGTGCCCTTGCATAGTAAAGCCTTTAGCGCGCGCATTTAACCACTGGGGTGGTGATACATCCATTTTTTAAAACATAAGCAATTGGTTAAATAATAAAAATGCTCTTATATTTGAACTAAAAAACAAATCAGTACCGGTGGGAACCTTATCATTTGAATGGACGAATGGAACAAGGCCACGTAGCCTAGGGAGAGTCAAACCACCACGCATGCTGGTTGACCACCATCTTCTCTAGTTGCTTATTGAAGAAAAATGAGAGGGCAAATTTTAGGATACAAAAAGTATATTTACTTTCTAAAACCATCCAAAAATTGTGACTTCTTTACATTTTCACATGCAATCCTATTCAAATGCCAAACACATAACCAATAGGCTACATTAGGAAAAATTTATTGTATATACTCCCTCATAGCCCCATCTACACATGTTACCATTGTTTTTGGATATTTATTTTCCATGAACTCTAAGAAACACATCAAAAACCGCTTATACGTCACCGTCGTTTCATCTCACACTAATGCATCGCCGATTATAACATTCTGTGAGTGACGATTGCACCCAGAAAATATAACCAACATATAATTGTATTTGTTCTTCTTGTAACTTGTGTCAAATGCAACATAATAGCCAAAATAGAAATAACCCGATCAACTAGTGTCGTCTGCCCAAAAAAGTGATTCAATCTTCCATCTATATTAACAGAACATTTTGCTTATAACATAGGATCCGCAGATGATTTAACATTGAGATAATTTAAAACAGGAACAACATCACCATCTTTAATAACAATGCACATTTTTATCAAAATAATTTTACAAATCTTTCTTTGTAAAACCAACATCAGTATATCCACCCTTTTGAGCAATCATGTATCCCATTATATGACACGTTCTCATTCCATGTGACTAAGACCATCAATTTGATATTTTTCTACTTCATAAATTTAACTATAAATGGGGTGTAAATGCATAAACTTTGATGGGGTTAATTCAAAGTTATGAGCCATTTCAAAAATTTACACTACATATTTTTTCTTTTTGGATTTGTAGTGCACACGAAGCCTAATTGTGCATCTAGTACGGGTCAGACATCAATGATCTCTTTTTCTATCTTCCCTAGATAAGTTCTTCTTGTCATTTAATCCATATTTGTTGCATACATACTACCTCATTACTACTATTTCACTACCTTCAGACCCTTTTTGCTTAACATTGTTTTTCCTAATGGCAAAACCTTTACATTTTCCATACCTATAGTAAAACTCACAAGCTTCACTCAAAATTCCAAATTGCATAGCACGAATTTCACCTGAAGTAATGAAATTAATACTCTCCAATATATCACCTACAACAACGACTATTTGACCATTCCGCTCCAACGGATTCCTCATCATCGTCATTATCAACATCATCTTCATCGTCTGAACTTTGATGTCCACTAGATACAACAACATTAACATCTTCATCATCAATATATTCAACATCAGATAAATCAGTGTAATAAACATTGTTCAAATCAACACTAACATAATCGTCGTACTTGTCCATCTGAAATCAACCAATATATAACACAACATAAGATAACACTAGGGATGAAAAACAAGCATGCTCGCCCCGTTTAGGCCCGCAATATCAACAAAGCCCGCAAAACAATGGGGGCAGGGTGGGATTTGTTGAGGGCGCATGCCTAAAACCTAGCCCCACTCCATAAAAAATGAGTGCAAGGCGGGGTGGGCCAACTGACATTGCACCTCTTAAGCCTAAAAATAACAAATTTTTATGTTAATGCCAGTGCCCGCAAAAGCCTGCAAAAAATGGGGCAGAGCAAACATATTAGAGGGTACATGTCTAAAATCTTAGCTCGCCCCACAAAAAAGTATGGTCAAAATAGGCATGCACGATGGGTCGGCCTTGTTTTGCCACCCTTAACAACAACAATCATAAAACCTAATTCCCAAATTTAAATCAAATATTAACGAACATATTGAATAACTAACAAATTGAAAATCGAAATCCCTAAATTTTAAATCCAAATATAGATAATGACATCAATTATAAAACCTAATTCTCAAATTGAAAAAAAAAATTATCTAACTTAATGAACAACTAACATATTACAAATCAGAATCCTTAAATTTGAAATCAAATTATAGATAACAACATCAATCTTCATAGAACCTAATTCTTAAATTGAAATCATATAACAAATTGAAATCAGTAAATATTAAACCCAAATACCTTGGCAAATATGCTATCAGTACGAACACCAACAAAATGTGTTAGGAGCGATTGTATGAGAGAAAAATATGAACATCAACAAATTGTATAAGGAGCGGTTGTATGGCCGAATATTAAAGGTTCGCTCATTGTATTATGTTGGGAAGAAAACTTGTTTTACAATGATGAAAGAAGAAGATGAAATGTGTGTTAGTTAGTGATCGTTTTACAATTACAGTAAAAAAAGATGAATGTGAGTAGTTCTACCGATTGGGAAAAAGATGATGAAGTTGTTATTGGTTGAGAAAAGAAGATGAAATTATAGTTGGTTGGGAAAAGAATGTGAAATTGTATATTTGTTGGAAATATCGTGACAATATTTATATTATTTTTTATGAATTTGAATTTTCAAAAAATAAGATTTTAAATTAAAAAATAATATATTAAATGAATATTATTAATTTAATATGTTAGAAATTTAGTTGTAAATATATTAGAGACTTAAGTATAATATTAATAAATATGAAATTACATAGTAAATTTCATATACCATATAATCTCATGTGACATTATAAAGATTTAAGAAACTTTATTGATTGACATAATTATGACTTCATAAAAAAAGAAGTCATTTTTGATGTTTTCACCCTAAGAATTACTTATAAGTTAGTTAGAGTTTAATGAAATTTGTTAGGATATTATACTCATATGATTGCTATTCCATTGGGATATTTAAAGGCTTGACCTCAACCTGTACTGATCAAGCATTTTAATAATAATTTCAATGTTTCACTTTTATTTTTCTTTAATTAGTAAATGACTCGTGTGTTCGTACGGGTCACGCAAAGTCGATATATATTAAATAAATATTATATAATTATGATTAAATATATATATATATATATATATATATATATATATATATATATATATATATATATATATATATATATATATATAAATTTATATAAATTAAGAGAAAAATATTTAAATAATAATTTTCATATATAAATATTAATTTAACTTATCATATTGAAGTAGTTGTCAAAATATAGATAAAGATTATGTTGAAAAATATATGAGTATATGGTGTAATACACTTTACAAAAATTCAAAATTAAATCGATTATCTACCGGTGTGTTTGTACGGGTCACACAATATCATTATAAATAGTAAATAAATATAGTATAGGGATGATTAAGAAATGTATATAAAAGATATACAAATTAAGTAGTCTCGGCCTGTATAAAAAGTATAATTTAGTAAAAAAAAATAAAGAAAATAATTAAGTAGTCATCTACTCGTGCGT